AAACATTTTCTTGCTGATCCCACTTGCAATGAAGATATAATGAAGATCACAGCTGGGCACATTGCTTTATATATGCTTGGAAAAGTCAGATGGCACTGCACCTGGACAGGTTGCCATTTGTGGAAGGGTATGAATTGAACAGAAATTACATCATCCCACCAAAATCTGTCTTCACTCACATGTTGGTTTCACCTGAAGCTGAGAATCCTATGCATACTTAGGCAAGAATGCTAATATGTTGCTAATTTTTCCTGAATATCAAAACACCGCTTGCTGAGACCAAGCAACAATGTCAGTAGTATTGAGGCGCATCTTCCATCCTTCTTGTGCATCACTGTTGTCCCATTGTTCAGGGACAATTAATGCTAATGTGAGTATTGAATAGCTATGGCAGCAAACGCTTTGTGAATGATTTATGTACAAGCAACAGTTCAGCATTAGACTGTGATGCTTACCAAATAAACTGGAAACTGCAAGGCAGTTTTCCAAAAGAAAGGAAGAGAGAAATGTTCCACCATCCAGCACAGTCATGGGAAAAGTGAAGTTGTTGAAGGTCTTTAACCTGTTGGTGGTTTTTACTCTTTTTTTCACTGTGTTTTGGTGTGCATTTATGGGTTTATCCTACGACCAATAATGGCTGGCTGGCCCGCCACTGGAACATCCAAAGTTCCAGCTCCAGAAGTTGTCAATCCAATTATGATAGTAGCACGGTTGTTGAATTAGGCTGATGGTGATGATGGGTATCTTAATCCTGATGGATAAATCTTCAGTCTAATAAATAGCACTTAATTTCTAAAGGGAATTTTTGTTGTTTGAAATTTGCCCTCTTTTTAGCCTCATGCCGTACAGTTGATGCTGTATCAACTGATCTCCAGCACACGGAAAGCTTCATTTCATTTAATCTGCTTGGGCTGCTATAAATTTGGAATAAAGAACTGGTCACCATCAGTCAGGTCAGATTAGGTAACTTTAATGTGAGTTTGCCTTTGAAAAGTTTTTGGATGCTACAACCAGTCCAGGATGCAGCACAAAAGGCATTAAGTTGACTGAGCTATATGGGTCATAGTATTCCAGTTTTCTATCAGTTCCCTCTTGGCATCAGGGATCAATTAAATGTGCTGATTTTGACTCTCTGGTGCCATAGAAATCTACTCAATTCATAGAACTCTACTCAAAGTAAGTTCCGTTGACTTCAGGGGTACCTTCTCCCAGGCAAAAGTACTAGGAGGATAATCTAAGAACCACTTTCTCCAAACAGACCTACCTGCTTCATGCCTAAAGCCATCTTCTAAAGTCAGCATTCATTGAATAGGGAATAAGGAGACAAGACAGAGCCATTTATAGTAGTCTTTGATCTTGCATCCCACCGTCAGGCAGGGCCAAAAGCAAAAGAGGGCAGGGAAAATGGCCGGGACCAAAGAGAACTAACACTCAAGGTGCCATTATATTTTAGGTAAAAGTTCTTATGGCTAGTATCTAACACTTGGGAGAGGCTCTTCACTCTTTACAAATAGTTAGAAAGATGCACAAAATGTTGAAAACTATCTAATGGTACTGTTTCAGGAAAACTGACTATGTAAATCTGAAGAACCATGGATTGGCTAAATTGTGGACCAAACAGTCATGAGGTTCCCGCCTTGGGGTTCTGCACCCCAGTATATAAACTGAAAACAGAGAAACAAGTCATTTCTTGCTCAGCATGGTAATGCGAAAGTGAGAGAGGTCGTCCAAGGACTTAATTCATGGAGGGCTGCCTGTGCACACAAGGATAGGCCTAGGTCCTAAAGCAAATTTACTACAAATGTTCTAGCTGTACTAGATAGAATAGGACGTTCTTAGTGTGTTGTTAATGGGAAGTACAGTTCTCTCGCGGCTGTTTGGCCTGGCTACAGCAAAACTCAGAAGAAACCCAGTTCTCAAAAGCTTGGATTAGGGGGTGTGGGGCAGAGAGAGAGAAAGAGAGGCTTCATTGACTCCTTTATTTATATATTTTATTTTTAATTAAAAAATAAAGGTTATCTTGATACATCTCTTTGCAGCCTTTGGGCAAAAATACACCCTTTAACAAGACTATAGGAAACACGATGCTTATCTAATTCTTGGCACACAGGGCTGGAAAAATAGATGCAATATTTCTCCTGAAAAAGTTTTCCTCTGAATTCCGTGACTTGCTCTCCCCAGATGCTAAAGATGTTTCAGTATTCCTAAATTAACTGCCTAATGGAGGAAATGGAGCTAAAGCATAAATTCCCCAATGCTCTGATGTTCCCGTAGAATGCTAGGTATCTAAAACCTCCTTGATCCAGCCCATATTCTATCAAGAGGTCAAGCTAAATATCAAATCTGGTTTTACTTTTTGAACTCTGGTTCAAAAGTACATGTCTTTAAATATTAGGGTTGCAACAGTTGGATAGATTGGATTGAATGTAATGAAACTCACTTCCAAGTAAACACACTTTTGTGAGTATAGTTAGTTATATTAAGGGTGCAGTCTGGCAGAGACACCCCCGAAGTCTTTGTCACCCCATTCCTCCTGCTCTAGCTAAGGCACCTCAAAGGAGGACGGAAGGAGGCTGAAGCATTGCCAGGATACCTCATATCCTGGCTGTTGCAGTCTCCTCCTTACTTGTTCTCCTGAAACATCTCCTTTAAGTCTTCTCCGAGGTCACTTGTCTGACTTGAGAGAGCAGGGGTGTGGTTCTCTCCATGCCAGCTGCAAGGAGGAAGGGGATCAGAGCTCTGGTTCTCAGCTCTGGGGGGCTGTCCCTGATCTCAGGGCTGGGGTTCTAAACTATCTGCCCCCCCACCCCCCAATAATGTCTAGGGGCCACAGTATTGTTCCTTAATTTATGTAATGCTTTTTGAGCAGAGTGGATCCTCTAATTTACTACCACCTTGTTCTGCTGCATATGTAGACTCAGGAAGCTGGATGAATCCCATGTTTACAAATTCCAAAATGAACTACATTCCCTGGACTTGCATTTATTTATTACATTTTTACCACCTGATGGCCAGAGCTGTCTGCGAATTAGAACTTCGTCGTGCAGCTGCTTTTGCTCTTCTCACATGTTCTCATCTCAAATCAATCAAAAATGGTTTTGAATGCACATTTTGAAGGAAGATAATTTAGAAATATACATTCTGAGGGAAAGAAATATGTTTTAAAAGATAGTTGAAATTCATGTTGAATTTCATTTTGCCCAGCTAATTATTATTATTACTTCTTCTGCTGCTGCTTCATCATCATCATCATCATCATCATCATCATTATCATTGCAGATCAATGCAGACATGAGATGGAATGGACTTATGAGAGAACAAATGAGAAAAAAACATGGGGCTGGATCCAGACTTAGTCATGCTTAGAGTAGATCTATTGAAGTAGCAGGACTTAGCCTTAACTAAGTTTAGTCCAGTTTATCCCATTGATTTCAGTGGATCTACTCTAAACATGACTACATTTGGACCTTGTCCATGGACCAGACACAGACTGATTGACCAGTCTGTAGGCCAGATTAAACATATAAAGCATAAATAGGCGTTCAATTATGACAACGTATTAAACCCCGGGAACTCATTGTGCAGCTGTCTGGGAGGATGAGCAGTGTAGGCACTCACACACACACTATGGGGCTGGGAACACTCCAGACCTTGCTTTCGCACTGACTGCCCTCTTATTTCTAGAGTGATGATCAAGAACTATTGATCAAAACTAACAGCTTTCTGTGGGGTGCTGGTATCCCTTGCCGCACTGATTGTACTCATGAGTCTTGACGCAGCTGCTCATAGCACATGCATTCCGCACACACTGGCATAAGGGCTCCACTTTTCTTTTCTGTAGTGGAGAGTCGATCTAACAGGGTTTTCAAGGGTTGTTGGCCCAGATGACCTCAGTACCCCACCCCTTCTGCTCTTAGTGGGTCCCCTTGCTTCTTGAGAGCAGCCACCACCACTGCCCATTTTCTAGCCTTCCTCCTCTAGGCACAATCTAGACAATCACCCAGATGGAGGGTGCAAGTCAGCTGAGGGCACTGCTTTATTTCCTACCTTTTATTTTGCTTGTATGCTTCAAGAAGGCAGATGAATAGGCAGCAAAAATGAGGAGAAAGAAGGGGACTGGGGATGCCTTAAAGATGCTGACCTGGGACAAATGGCACATGCCTACTTCTTCTGCTGATGTGAACTGGGGAGCACCGAAGTCCACTGGGAGCTGAAGGCAGCCCTCCTACAGCCTTGGTCAGGGAAATTTCTAGGACTTCCAATACCTTCGGGCCTTGGGGCTCCTCAAGCAATTCTTCCTGCCCCTTCTAGTCAGTGCTGCTTTCACCGTTCCTCAGACCCCTTTTCATTTCCAGAAGCTTCCTCCCTCCTGATTCCAACCCCTACAACTCTAACAAGAACAAAATCAACTCCACCTTTTGCAGAAAAAGTCTACATCGCCTCCCATATTTTTCTGCACCCCCAAACATAGGTCTGTGGTCTTGGTAGCTCTAGCATCCCACTTGTTCAATATTGCATTTAAAATGACTGGCTCTGGCCCATGCCCAGCTAAGCACTTGGTTACAGAAGAACAGTATGCTGCTGGGGAGACCTTCCTCTTTTTTGGCAGTTGCTGTTTTCACCTGTTTCAAAGCTCAGGATAATATAATCCTAATGACAAGATAAAGAACGGATCTTTCCAGCATGGTCCAGTCACTAAAAAGCCTCTTCCTTACAGTACTGTGGGAAACTGAGCTCTGTGCTCATCACCAGAGTCTCAGATTTCTAAGCATGCAGTCTTCTTTGGAAAGGCGTTCAGGCTCCAGGACATCTGTGGGGAGGTGGACATATGACATTGAGAAGCAGAAAGCTGTTTACCCTGGGTATCCTTGCCCAGAAGTGACCTACCACTCTGGTCAATTTTCTTAAGGCACAAAGTGCAGGGGAATCCAGTTTATACATTGTCTTTGGCAGGGAGGGCTGGGGAGGGAGGCAGCTTCCTCTTTCTTTCTCACATTCTCTTAACTTGATATTGTCTCTCCTGCAGAGGTGTCCGCTGTGTCTTTAGGAGATTGCTCTGTCTCTGGGGAGGCATCCAACGGCTTCTGGGGCAACCCACACTCTTCTGCAGCCTGGTCTTCCTCCAATGCCAGCTTCTGAGCTTGGCTGTTCATCTTCTCTTCTGCTTCTATCTCTTCTGAGGTGGGAATGGAATTTTTCTTGGGACGACCTTTGGGCTTTGTGGGAGCTTCCTGACCACCTTTCAGGACCTAAAGCAAAACCAGGGTTAGTGCTGACCACTGTCTTGGCATCCCAAAGTACAAGAGGGAAATGAACAAAGCAGTCCCCTATTTCCCATTTGCTCACATCTTTTCTTTTGTCCCATTTTCATTGCAGTTTGCAATACTTGAAAAGGTCTGCATGAAAATTCCCTTATTTTCATGCAAATTTATCCTGAAATGCACTGCATTTTTGTATACATTTTCACCACATGTGAACTTTGCAAGCCTGACTCTGTACTCTGTTTTCAGATTCTCTTTTGCTCTTATTTCCACTGTGAGTTTTTACATGGTTTTCAGTTTTAATTGTTGTGTCACTTTGGAATTTCTTTTCGGGCTCAAAGGTAATCCATAAGTTTATGGATTAAAAAATGCATGCTGTACATTTTTGCTAATCCATGCTTATTGAGCACATTTCCCCCCAAGGAATGCATTTCAACATATTTTTTAGCTGAAGACTATCACAAAATCCAGAAAAGTTCATAATGAAGAGATGTAGCAGGCATTGTCTTAAGAGAGGAAGTCCCTATTCTCTCACATACTAAATGGAATGTGAGAATTAAAGAATCATAGAATACTAGAGTTGGAAGGGGCCATGAAGGCCTTCGAGTCCAGTTCCCTGCTGTTGCAGGACACCACGTTACACCATCCCACTCAGATGCCTGTCCAGTTTCGCCTTGAATGCCTCTAGCGTGGGAGAGCCCACGGCCTCTCCAGGCAGCTGGTTCCACTGTCCTATTGCTCTGACAGTGAAGAAGCTTTTCCAAATGTCCAGCCTGAGAAGATGCATGTTAGAAAATGGTGCTCGACATCTGCAATTCATACAAGTAGCTGTATGAAATTATAAACCACACCCTGTGTGTGTGCACACATGCATGCGTGCGCATGAGCATTTATGCATGTAAGCTGCCTTATCAAATAGGTGCCATTCTGCCAGTGTCAGTGGTTCTGTTTTGGATCCAGGCACAATAAGCACCATTATTGTGAGCAAAGATAAGTGTTATTAGTAGACTCCTTAAAATAATAAAATCAAAGTAGGTACTGAGTACCATGCTTATATCTCTTTGGCTACTGGGAATTTCTCAAACAAATAGACAAGACCAGACAGACTCCTGCCAAACATATGGCATCCTTTGCAGCTGGGTTTGTATCAAGGTAATATTCTTGGGAAAATTCCCAAACCTTATATAGGGTTTAATTTAATAACACCTGCACTAATGATACAAATAGTATAATATAGTACTGTGATAATGATAATATACACCTGCACTAATTCATATGTTAATATGCTGGTTTTTTGCATATAACTAATTAGAAAAGAATCTTAACTGTTAACTCTACATCTTGGTGATTCCCTTATCAAGCAGTAGGCTGGTGCTAAATGGCTCCTTCAGGCTGGCCTAGGTACAGCCCAGAGTCTCCCATTCCCAGGCCGTATCTAGGTCAAACTCACCCAAACAATGAGTAAGAACTATCAAAGCAACTGATTAACAGATAAGACCAAGAGATGACTAGGATGCCTGTCCTAGGCTTCTGACTGCCTTTTTCAGGCACCGCACTGCTCCCTTCTCCTGAGTCATGGGGGCAAAACCTCACCAATGCATAAGGCAGAGATACTTAAATACCACCATGTGGGCTGGAGCAGTCCTGTGTCATCCTTTGGCTTGGCCAGCAACACACCTATCCTAAAGGCGGGCAGTCAAACTAACCTTAAACAGAGAGCTGATCAAAAGTGAAAAGTAGAGAATCCATAGCAATTGCCTGGACTTAACAATGTTCTGGCCCTAACTTCAAGCTGTTCCTTTTTCAGTTGTGAGCTCCTCTACTTGATGGGTTGCGTTCAGACTTTCACATGCTGTGCATACATCTTTCTCAATGGGTTCACTGTGAGCATGACTAAGTCTGGATACAACTCTATGAGTTCTATGCGCCCACTTACCATTTTCTTCCATTTCATTCTGCGATTCTGGTACCAAGTCTTCACTTGGAGCTGAGTTAGGCCCAGTGACTGGGCAAGGTCCAGCCTAAAAAACAAGGGATCCAAATTAGTGGCAGAAAGGAAGACAAGACCTATAGTGCACTGCCAAGATGTGATTATGTTATACCCTGCTGAATTGTTCATATCCTGGAGGGAAAAATCAAGGAAAGCCAAATTCCAGTTTCTTGTAATAGGCCTTTTTGATTCTCATCAAAGAAAAGATAGATATCAGTGACTGGCACACTGCACAATGTCCAAATGAAACAACCAAGGAAAATCAAAGGGAGAGTTTACTTCCTCATTGGTGTAATTAACAGTCTTAAATTAAACAGTATCATGAGCCCAGTATTATCTAGAGAAGTTTTTGCAGACGTGATTAAGGCAGCAATCCAATGCTGGCTTACTTGGAGGTAAGTAACGGAGACCATGTGGGTTTTCTGTTTGAGTTAACATATATGGTGTTAACTAGCTTTTTTTTTTTTTTTTACAGGCAAGCATCTTTAACAAAGTGCTTACTCATGAGTGAACATGCATAGGAATGGGCTGCATACTTTGTACTGGTCTGCAGTCATGCAAACACTGAATGGTGACAAGCCACAGTGGGGTTTCAAGTCATGTGAACTGAGACAAGTTCCATTTGTGGGTAACAATCCACCTCAGCCATACTTGGTTGGACCCACAATAGTTTGTCATATCATTCGAATCCAGACGAACTACCTGCATCATGGGTTGTGGGAAATAGCTGGTGAGCCACTCAGAAGTTGAGCCCAAACTGCCTGCCACTCTGGCTGGGCATTGCCAGTGCCAGCTGCCCCATTAAAAACCAAGAAGCATGCTAAAGCAACTACCACTGGTGTGGTGATCCCCCTCTGAAATCGTGGGCCCTTTGTAGATATTTCTTCCCCCTTGCCCTACTTTCCCCGCAGAGATCACTTTTTTGATCTCCACTTTGACATTTAGCAACAGCCCCTTCAAACTGTCCAAGTGGTGCATTGGAAGAGCAATCGCTAGTCTGTCTCCCCTTAAAACACACACATACTAAAGCTGCAGAACTTTTTGGAAACTTTAAATTATTGTCGTCAGATTCATGCAGGTCCAAATTGGTAAGCATCGCCTCTGCAATGTCAAATCAAAGATCACAAAAGGCATTTCAGGGCAAAAATGGGAGGTGGGAGAAGAAAAAGCCGCCGTGGCTTACAGTGGGCAGAAGGCAGAGAAGCTGATCTGTTGCACAGTCTGTTGGTACCCATGGGCTGACCAAGCATAATAGAGGGGGCATGCAAGCCACAGTAAACCCAATCATCTACTGGGCATGCCATGGGTTATTTCACCAACCCATAGTTCATCTGCAGGATGGGTTGCCATGATGCGTGAACTGTCTATATTATGCATGATGAACATTAATGTTAAGATGTTAGCAATAACACCCTAAGGCACCACGCCCTGAGGAGGAGAGTGGGAATGCTCTTCTTCTCTGTGGGAAAGTAGCAATCCGCAAACTGTGCACTTTTAGGACCATCCCAGTTCACAGGAAATGGGAAAAGAATCCACCCGCCAGCTCATTCCAGAGAAGCAGGCAATTTCTAGATCACAGCATGAACTAAAACATGGCTTAGGTTTTTATACCATGTCCAGTCCATCCTCACATTATGTTCAGGATGAAGTGTTACCTCCAGATCTTTGAAGGCATTATTGTGATACACATAAGGTGCAATGCACAATGGCTCTCATTCCCAAGGGAATAACCCTGGGATTGCAGCCACAGAGCAGGGAGAGGGCAAATTTCAGTCTTGCGAGATCTGCTTTGCTTTTTAAGTCCACCAACCAAATGGTGGTACAGGAAGGTGGAGCCCAATGCGGAACAGTGGACCATGGAGACCGCTGCTCACTGCACCTTCTCAGCACACAACAACTGGGTCAACCAAGAAGATGCACCCAGGTTGTTTATAGAGCTGGGGGAGAATTTCATTCAGTGCCCTTTTTGACAGCTTCCTAAAAACATGATAGGGATTTGATTTTAAATTTGATTTTTAAAAAATCAAATTTGATTTTAAAAAAAGAAAGAAAGAAAACTCCTTCAAGAGGGAGGAAGGTGAAACTGACAGATGTGTCTACCCAGGCAAAGCCTTTGAGTGCTCATATCCTAAAGGTTTCTTTTGAATGTGTTGAATCCTATTTATGATGCAGAATTAGGATTGCCATTTTTTTCCATGACAGTTGGAAACTGTGGCAATCTATTTAAAAGTATCCAAAGATCTATCAGACGATTCCAATCAGCCTTCAGCCTGTCTCTGCCTTTGAGCTTTTCAAAGTATGACTTTTTCTTTTTGAGTGACATCGTTATCTGTTTTTACAAAAGCTAGAAGCAACACAGCTCCAGCTACTGGTCTGCTACCAAGCAGAACTGAAAATGCTGCTTTGTAAAGCTTGTATAGTTTGGGATCAAGCTCAGGGAAAGACTGCCTTCTCCTGCATGAGTCTGCCCAGGTTTTAAGAACTTCAGGAAAAGCCCTTCTTTCTGTAGTACCAGCAGTTAGAGATAAAGAAGGGGCCTGTCTCAGGAAGCCAGTTTGACCACCTCTCAGTTGTCCTTCCATTGGCAGGCAAAGACATTTTCATTCAAGCATATAAGCTGAATAAATGTGATACACTGAAGGAGAGGTTGTATTGTTTTATTGTGTTTTTTAATGTATTGGCTTCTATGATAGGCTTTAATCAAAGAGGATTGCTAGAAAGCCTTGACATAAATTCTCAGTCAATCAATGCAGAGCTCAGCTCTAAATTGCAATCAACTTGGGTCTTGTTTATTCACGATTTAACTGTATTCATGAATTGTTCATAATAAATGCATTTATAATGTTTATATTTATACATTTCCAAGCAATGTTGAAAAAACAAGTCGTCATACAGTGGACAAGATCAACGTAATTTTGCACATAATTTGAAGCCAACTTAACAGCATCTCCTCTGCTCCAGGTGGGAAGCTGCCCTTTCATTCTCTCCTTCTCTCTACATGCCTGTTTTGGAGAATCCCCAATTTTTAAAGTATTCGCATGTGTCGATTTAAATCTGAAGGCTGAGTGTTTATCAAGAAATAAATCTTACAGTATTCAATGTACTCAGGACTGCAACCCTGCCATCTGGTAGGTCAGATTCATGATACATTAAAAAAAATTCTTCCTAGCCTGTACACATGGCCTAATATTCCTGAGAGTTGTAGAGGGAGGGGTCTCGTCGCCTCTTTGCCATGAAAATCCCCAGCTAACAGCAGACAGAGTGGGGCAGAGTTGATGGGAAAGGGAGATGTTTAGATCCTAACACTATACTTCCCATATTTTTATTTACTCAAGGATAATATTGAAACCCTGCAACTGCTGCTCTGCTAGAAGGTGTCTGCAAAAGAAAGTGCTGTTTCAAAGAAAGAAAAGATTGCAGACAAGCACCCAGTCTTTAGAGACAAACGGACTGCTGAATACTTGTTGGTTTTAAGCAAGGATAAAGAAGATTGCCTGATGCATCTTGAAACTGTCTCAGTATTAAAGGAATACAGTGTTAAAAGACACTTTGCATGCTGTCACAAGAGCTGCTCAATGTATCAAGGAGAGCTGCAAGTGAACTTAATGTTTTTGTAGCGAAATAGTTCTAGAAAGCCCATTGACTGTAGACTTGGAGGGCTGGCTATCATGTTGCTAAATGTATTGCTGAGAGTGGTTGGCCATCACTGATGGTGGATTTGTTAAGAAGTGCCTGGCTAAAGGAATGGAGGATACACGTCCTGATAAGGTGCCTTGTGTTGCTTGTGTCAGTTTATCTGTCTCTACAGTCACCAGGTGTGTTGAAGAACTTGGGGAAGAGCTGCATATGGCACTGATTGTCAAGGGAAAACGTTCTGATTTTCCCCCTTTGGTATTAGATGACAGGAATATACAATTCAATGTTGAAAGACACATCAAAGCACTGAACCTATTGCAGGTGGAATTCCAGAACAGATTCACTGGTTGCCATAAGCACGGAAAGGAAATAAGAACATCTCAGAACCCATTGGAAGCAGCACCACAAGATGCAAGTAACTTTTTCGGATGGAACTAATTGATTTGCAAGCCAGTTCCCATCTCCAGGACACTGACAAAGATAATAGTCTGTCAGATTTCTATTGTGGTCAACCCAATATATTTATCTACCTACAGAAATGTGCTGCAGGCATGTTCCCAGTCTTTGGCATTGCATACCACTGTGAACATACTTTTTCCAAGACAAAATTGTGCAATCCCAGTGTAGGTCCAAGTGACATTTACATGACATTTTAGGGGTGTCTGTGACAAACCTTGACTTGGACATGAATGCCTTGGCAACCACAAAAATCACAAGGATAAAAGGATTCCACAGTAAAATATTGCTCCAAAATGGATCGCGTTCAGGTTAACATTTCTCATTGACCTCTGAATGTTTACTTTTGTTCTAAGTCAATATGTTATTAATTTGGTTACATTTTGATTTCAGATGTTGCCCTTTTGGACTTTGGGCATTCTAATGTGGTCCCATGTCCCAGAAGGTTGGGGACCACTCGTCTAATGCTTTTAAAAAACCAGCTAAGCGAGTGGCCATTGCCCAAGGTGGCCATGTATTCTCTTTTACAGAGGTTAGTCCTCTATTTTGAGGGCTGCCAGAAGAGGGTCTATTTGAATTACTTAATTTAAAGATAAATGGCTTGATTTAATTTTTTAAAAAGTTGTTCATTAACAGTTAGCACTTAAAAAGTAGATGGGATGGTCAAGCATGCAAGTTTCCTGGTCACAGTCTCCCACATTATGGTAAGACGCATTTCTATTTGAATTATGTTCAATAGTTCTAAATTTGCATCTATGCATTTATATTAACACATGAAAATGTTATGCTGCCCTCCTTTTTCCCTTGTTTGACAATTCATGAGTGTCCACTTTATCATTAGTGTACCCTGTGGTTCAAGAAATATGATGCATCTATGCAGGGAATCCCAGAAATACAACCACGCCCAGAAAGTATTGGAGAAATGGGAGAACTGGGATGCTAAAGGGGGCATGCATAACTTCCTGAGTATTATGTGAAAGATGCTTCCCATTTGAAACCAGGTAAAGGAGCAATAAACACTGCACCCAAATCATTAAATGTTTGGGGGAAGTTAGCAAATGCCAGTGCACTTGTGAGATTCACATGGAAAATCTACCTCACTGGTTTTCTTGCACCAGCCAACGTGTGCCTCCTCACAGTTAGATTCCCTGCAACCCGTACAAAATTTTTTCTATGCCTGTTAAAAACAAAGAGTGCTACCTAGGAAACCAGAGCAACAAACAGAGGAAGAGGAGCAAAGAGCTGCAAAAGCATTGCTTGCTCATCAGGCTGGGCCACATACAATGCCAAGGAATATTAATGCCAGAAAATTCATGCAGCATCAACCCACGTGCATGATGGATAGCGCTACTGAGCCAGTCACGTGAAGTTCTAGCTTTGTATTACCCACCCAAATGCTTGAACAATCCTGAATATGGCTTCCTTGCTAAACGGATTCATAATTTCTGCATACAGAGTGGCACTACAGGCATCTGGAAAACTGGCAGCATGAAGTGTCTGAATATGCTGGGAGCACTGGTGAGCGTCTCACCCCAGCGATGTGCACCAACCACTTTCAATGAAACCCTCATGCTTTGGCAAACATGGTAATTTTGCAGCACATAAAACAGAAGAATAGAGGGTTAAGTGAGAACAAATAAAATTGCAATGCTCTGCCGGTATTAACTACTGTGAGCTAATTATACAGAAATTATATCTTGCTACCAGGATGCATGTGACAATCCAATATACACCAAGCTTTCTATCGGATCCTGAGTGCATAAGAGATCTTGAAAATGGACTCTGTGTGATGTGAGGCAAGTATTTAGCATGTGCACCATTGCCAGGATCTAACCAGAGCTGGGACCCACCACATGGACAAGCTGGAAGCTATATAGTGGAACACATAGTGCTACCTCCACCTTTCCCAACCTGTCCACATGGGAGGAACTGCAATTCCCACAATCCACAGAGCACCCACAGGTGTGAGCTCCAACACTTCACTACTGCTTCCTCAGCATCTGCTGCTTGAGTTGGCTATTTTGCCTAACAGTAAGGTCGATCTGGAGAAAGTATCAAAAGCGACTACTTCTGTTTTTAAACTATCCAGCTTTCCTTATTATGCTCCAATGTGAGCTTCCCAATGGGAGAGTAATGGAGTGAAAGGGCCAAGGGCCCCTCACCCACCAGACCAGGTCCCTGACCCAGACTGGGGCACCATCTCTGCCATTCAGTTCTCAAGAGATGTCCGTGCCATTGCTATGTGAATAGTGTTGCTTCTGATTTAGCCACTTTCCCCCCTGAACTGTGAAGCCAAACAACTGGTTTTCTTTCCCACTGACTCACAGCCAGCCTTGTTTCCCTTGCCACACCAACCAGTGCAACTATGTAGGTCAGAATTTCAAAGGGTATGAGGAAGAAAACACGTTTCTCTTTCTTCCTCCAAGTATCATTGCACATAAATCCACGCTGGTATGCGCATATGTATCCAGCACTCCCATGGTCTGGTATGTATTTTCCACTGATAGGATCTATTCATGTCGCCTTTGATTCTAAGGCAAGGGTGCTTTGAAATCTGATCTGACCATGTGACCAAGCACTCAGCTGAGAGCAAACTCATCTTCAAGTGCTTAGAAGTCATCAGGGTACTCTCAGCACCTGAACAGCTGGGAGAAGCATAACAAGCAGCCTTTCTGGGATCACTCCATTCTGGCTTAAAGAACACTTTTGACTAGGCCTAAATCCCACAGTGGGGCAGGTGGGGGGAGAGTCCATTTGACAAATGGTGACATGACGAGGTCAAAGCATGGACTGGGCTTAGGAGAGCTAAAAAGAATACTTTTGGGGAAGTGTTTGCTTGCTCTTCTTTTTCTCCAGGCATCAGACAGTAGCGAGGTCATCGCTGAGTGCTTCTCAGTGTCAGAGGGTGATATACTCAAATTAGTTATAGCTTCCATATAACTAGAACAACAATCTTGTGGCATCTTAATGGTTACTCTTTCTTGGTTTTGCTACTATAGACTAACATGGCTACCCTCTGAAAATTCATTGGAAGGGGAAACAAGGAGTGTTTATAGATCCTTTAAAAAAAAAACCCTAAACGCAGAAGATAATTCTCTTTTTTAAAAATTCTATGAAGGGAAAAACCACATTTCCAAGATACAGTTCCTAACTGGCATTGACCTAGTGCTCTTTTAATTGGTTTACTCCACTATGAGTCAGGCAAGTCTTGGGCTCACCCACTTCCCAAGGTTTTTCCAGAGTTGAGCATCCAGAAGCCCATTCTGCCATGCTGAAGATTGCTCAGGAAAGTTGCCCTGTGGGGAAGCCAGGACTGTGTCAAATGAAATTGGTTGCAGCTATGTGTGGGTGGCCAGATATGAATTGTCAAAAAAGAAGAAATGCATCACCAAAAAAGGACAAATAGAAGAACAATGTGCATACAATTTGCATATGTTAACTTAGGTAGAAGTCAGTTTAGAAATAAGTCATCATTTAGCTGCCCAGATGTCTGTTGATAGGTAACAGTTCTTATGGTTGTTTTCCAAACAGAATTATACAGGATGGCTCACTAAAGAGGACACATGGACACCCTACAGTGGCACATCATCCTATGACATGTTGCCCTTGGACCACGTCATCCTGCCCTTCAAGTGGCTTCCTCAGCTATCCCCTCTAACCAGTTTGGCAGCCCTCGCCATCCCTAGTTCCTTGACTCACCTGTCTGGTGTGGATAGGTATTTCTGCTTTTGGAATTTCTTCTCCAGCCCCATAAGCTGCAATTCTGTGAAGATGGTCCGGCTGCGGCGAGGCTTTTTCAAGCGAGGGGTGGGCTGCTCTGTCTCCGATTCACTGCTCCCATGAGTTTCACTGGCTTGCGTCTCTGAACAAGTGGTTCCTGAGGGTGGGTGTGGAGAGAGAACCCGGGAGGTGCTTGCTGTGGGAATGAAGTGGGAGACTGCCGAAGGCTGCCTAGTGATGACAGAGATGAGTGGATAGGCCCTCAGAGAAGGGGAGCCTAGGAAGAAAGCATCGGGGGAGAAAAGGGATTATACCGCATGATCGTCATAATTCATCATCTTTACTGGAGATGCTAGAGTCTGAACTCAAGGCATTTGGGAAGGACATGCATTCTCCTGCAAAGCTCCCTGTCCTCCCACTAGCACTTTATCCAAAGTTTGCAAAATGTTTGCACCATCAACTGAGTGGGATGGAGTCAACTGGTGTCCTGCACTGAGCTGGGGGTTGGACCCAATGGCCTTCATGGCCCCTTCCAACTCTACTATTCTATGATTCTAATTAAAAAGCCCATGATTATAATTAACATTAATCACAATGAATGAAATAACTGAAAGCAAAAATATTTACAGGTATGCAATATTAAAAACTTTTTTAAAAGATCCACCATTAACTTTTTATACACTCAACACAAGCATTCTTTGTTGCCAGCAGAAACTTTGCCACCATTGGAGGGACTTAGTCCTGAGTGGACATGATAAGGATTACACTGACCATTTAGGACACAAACTCATGGCCTGGCTGGACATGGGATTATTTGGAGTCCAGAAGGGAAAGAGTTGTGCTGGGTGCCTCTCCAAGGTCAGAAAAGGCCCTCAGAGATGAGGGAAACAGGTGGGGAGGGGAGGAAGCTGTGGGTTTATGCTGTATCCAGGGGAGGCCTCCATCCCCTCCCTCCCGCCATATAGATGGCTGAAAACAGCTAAGGCATCGGGCATGGCAGCAGGGAAGAGCATTGCCACCACAACCTGCACCATGTGTGGGATGTGCAACAGCTTCCCGGTTTGGAGGTCCATGTGCACTGAGAGCCCTGGATCATGTCCTGAGTGAGATGACACATTCTATTTCTTTTTTTTAAGTGTGTTAAATGTACCAACATAGCTTCTGAAGCCAGCATGGAACAGGCTCTTAAATGAATCTATTGTAAAGTGATGGAGAAATGCCTGCAACTTTAGTGTTCCCTTTCCGTCTCTCTCCCTCTTTCTGAATTAAGGATGGATTCATTTATTTCTAGTTGATGGTAACTTGATATGTATTGACTATAAGTTCCCTCTAATTTCTGCATATCAGTCTATGAATTTTTAAGACTGAACTTGCAAACTTTGTATGTTTTTTTCCACAAAACGTGCATGTGTATACATTTCCTCTTAAAAGATGATTCTATGCACCTTTTATCCCAACATATGTATTTGCTTGCATTCGGGTACATTTTTAGTTTGCATTCAAAGAAATGAGAAAAACAGAGAATAAGCATGTACTTATCCATCTTGGCAGCATGAATCAGGTTGAAATGCTTAAAGATGTGGATGGAATAAAAAGCACAAGCATCCCTGTATGAATGCATGGAAATGAACTATTGCCATGACTCCAATCAACCAAAACATGCATTACTTTGAAGCTGTGTTTAGCAGCTTCCCCCCCGCCTGCATGTTTACTTCAATGTGGGTACAGGTTGTCCCCCACCATGCTAGACTGGGACCCGGGATGCTGTACATGATGGCTTTTAAGAGAGAGAGAGCAGGGACCTCATGCCTAGTCTAGAGTAAAAATGAACAAAAGTCAAAGCTGTTAGACACAAATTTGAAGCAGTAACTCTTTTAGCACTGAGTGTGAGAATGCAAAGTGAAAAGTACACAAAATGCCTTGTTTTAATACTAAGGTTGTGTGTGTGGCAGCTGAACCCTGCAGACTCCACTGGTATCCTTGCACAAAGGCAGCAACGAACTTACTAACCAATAATTTTTGTTTTACTCTCCTTCATCTTTCAAGCAAGGCACCAAAGAAACCACAAAAAATATTAAGAAGCAATAAATCAGGAAAACTCAGAAACCACTGAGAAGCTTTGGGTCACTGAAACCTTTGGAGGAAAGCATTTTATAAGGGACCAGCTTCTAAGGGGCTTAGCAAAGGATATTCTATATCAAGAGCAATTAAGAGTTAATATTTGTTTTCCTACTTGGGTGGGGTGCAAGGGAGAGGGTAGCATTTATGGTTGTAATATAGGAGAGCCAAAACAACCCAAAGAAACAAGAATGGTGAAGTATTCATCATCCTATTAGGAAAAAAAACAACAACACATTAATGGGATCAGTATGTTATAAAGGTACATGTGGGAAAGAAAGAGCAGCGATGGAAATGAAATTGTGATCTCTAATCTCTCTAGTATCATTAATAAACAAAGAATTCTGTAAGCAATGCACCATCGCTTGGAGCCTGACTCTACACCTGTTTGCTTGGAAAGAAATCCCACTTTGCTTGGTGGGTCTTGTTTCCAACTAACCATGCCGAAGATTGAAATTGTAATGCTGCAAAGCTGTCTGTAGGATAGGATAGCAACATCTTCAATATTTTTCTTTTGCTCACCCCTCCCTGAAAAAAGGACAACTTTGCCAAGTCTTCTCTGACTACTCATCACCTCCTGCACACAGTACTCCAGAATGCTAGGTCCATGTCATTGTAGAGGAGGCAAAATGATGGCCAGGCTGCCAGCTGAAGGCACACCTCAGGGGGAAAGAGGAGGTGTAGAGGGGAAGAGTGTGTGCTTTTACCACTACTATTGGTGAGCTCCACCTGTAGGAGAGTACTGGAGAATTTCATCTCACCTCAGAGAAATTTGGAGAAGTGGTCCTGCTGTCTCCTCCATCTCTGGAGCATTATGGGCATGATTCTATGAATAGGACTTTTTCCTGTCTAAAAATGCAGTTGATGATGGCTGTTGGTCCAGTGCCAATGTTTGATCACCCAAAGGTATGAGCTTTAGGCTACTCCCACTGATCCTGAAATTCCCAATACATGCACTGAAGTCAATACCATAAAAAAATCAGAAGTAATGTTAATATAGTTGCATTGAGTATTATCATACTCCTAAATGTTTGCTGAAATCAAAACCATTTCCTCCAACTTGTGTAAAAAATAGAGGATCTTCTGTTGGTCCTAGACCAACTTTCTATTGTTGATTTCATGTTTGTGTAACAGAAGAGCTGGTTTTTTTCCTATTTACTCCATTCAGATCAATAATAATCTTGCTCATGCTGCCTCTTGGTGGGTTGGATCCAGTATTTTTAATCAGTTGGCCTAGTTTGCATGATTGCTGCAGTCCTCCATGTCTTATTTAAGCCATAATGGTTGGGGAACATGCCAACTACCATAGTCAATATTCAAGTTGCAGTGGGAGGCCACAATGGCTTATTGTAAAATATAAACCCAATGCAGAGTGGGTCATCAAACCATCCCCAGTCCAAGAAATGGCCCATGGGTTATGTGAGCCACAGGAAGCTGTGGCAGTTATGTAAACTGGCTCACCAGGAACATCTCAAGCAAAGTCCCATTCAAAATATTCCTGCTGATGACTTCCTGGGGACAATCTGTGAAGGTCACATCCTCACCAACTCAGGCAGCAGTAAACTCCATTGGATCAAAAGCCTTTTTTGGGTGGGAGGGGCTCTTCCACCCATGAGAGGCTTTTGCTGCACAATCAATTATTTAAACATCTCATTATTCCTTTGAATTGTCTTACATTCCATTTCTATATCATCTTTGAGGATGGTTGACCAGAGTTCTAAGTAAGAGACAAGTAGATTAAATGAGACCATTGATTATAGCCATGTGGTGTCATTCATCTTTTTTTTTCCTTAGAAATTTCCAGGAATCCAATAATCTGACTTGCATTTGCACTCCAGCTTGTCTTCTGGAATTTAAAATGCCTTTAAAGAGTAGCCCCAGACATTAGTTCAAAACATCTAGACACATCTTAAATTCTACACTGGCTAATTTTGCTGGAATGGAAGCCACAACTATCTGTCTGTCTGTCTGTCTGTCTGTCTATCTATCAATCTGATGAGCCATAAAAATTGGCATAAAACTGCTCTGTGTTGCTGAAGTCTATGTTGTTGAAGCCTGCTCAGTGTCTGAAAGTAGCAAAGTGAATCTCTGTCTGTGTATCTCTATCCATCTACTATACTCGCAACTTCTTGAAGGAAAAAATGCCATCGACATAATCATGGAAATTTAGGTTACTGGCAAACAAATTAAATGTGACTGTTGGAGTGCTCTGCAGAGTTACATCTGATTTGTTCCCCTTTAAGTAAATATCTGGGTTGGATAAACTGTTTTTACAGCAGTTTAAAATCTCATAATTTGGAGCTGGATGTTTTCAGTTGCAGAACTTTGTTTCTGAAGGAGCTAGAAAAACTAACTCTCTCTTAAATTTTCAGAAGTGTTGCAAAACCACTCCCTTCTGGTAGAGTTAATTCAACTACTGGGGTTATAGTTTGCAGTTGTTTCATTTGGTGGAATTTACATAGTGCATTTATTAGAAAAGTTTTTCTTAAATTGTAAACTGCTTCAAACTGCAATAGCTCAGCTAGCAGAGGGGAGGCATGTACAATAGTTAAGACAGCTGTTGGCACTCTGGTGTTTTCCAGATGTTCAGAAATACCACTCCCATCAGTCCCTTTCAGCATATCCTGAAGCTCCTACCAATCTGGTGCATGGGATGACCTTTCCAGGTTACAGTATGACAAAAAAGGAACAAAAATGTATCCATACCCATTTTCTCCACACTCATAATTTTGTACTTCTCTAGATGATAGATAGCTGTCTCTTCTCACTCACCTTTTCTCTAACCTCAGGAACCACAGATGTGCTAAGCTTTCCCCACAGGGAGAATTTGTTCTGGCTCCTCCATCATTTTGGTACCCCTTTTCTGCACTTTTCCAAACTCTACAATATCTTTTCTTAAGCATGTTGACTTGCAAGCCATGGAACAATGATCAGATACCTACCTACCTATCTAACTGGAATTGCTTCATATAAAGCAGCCTTCTTAAGTTTTGAACAAATAAATAGAAAATAGAAGAGCTTTGCTCCTGCAAACTGCAAGTCCAAATAACTTTACAGATTAAAAAAGAAAGCATTAGGAAAAAGAAAGCCAGGCAGAGGAAACTGAAGTTAAACAGCAAAACAATTAACAGAGGCCAAGAGAGATGTTGGCCATAAACT